CAAAAGTTATTTGACCAATAGGCAGCAATTTATACAATGTGAGCAAAAACAAACAGTTTCATATGATGTAACTTGTGGTGTCCCCAAGGGCTCTATTTTAGGACCATTATTATTCCCGGTGGGAAATGAGCTAGCGACTAGCTAGCTTTATAGCGATTTTCAAGCGATTTTTTTTTCTTATTTTATTTTAGGCAAATGTCTTTAACATCTTTAAGAATTCGACTTTTATTGTCGACTCTATTATAATTATAAAAATAATTTAACTTTAAACATTGCGATTTTGTAGCAATGTGTCGCTAGCTACATATCGTAGCTTTGTAGCTAGCTACAAAATATCTACAAATCTACAGCTGGTTGATAGCTACATATCAAAATTTTTTAGACAGCGATTTTATTATGATATGACGCTTGGTACAATAGCCAGTGGATCTTAGCTGTCGATCTTCTAAAAATAAAGACAGCCAAATCGCTGTCTTTATTTTTAAAAACATCGATAGCTTTTCGCTAACTTAAAAAAGCTAGCGATCCTCGTGGCCAAATCGCTGTCTTTATCGTAACGATTATAGCTAGCTATTCGCTAGCCGATTTCCCACCGGGTTTCTAGTATATAAATGATTTAAATTTAGCAACAGAATTCTTAAATTGTTTTTTACAAATGACTCAAATCTTTTTTTATTCCCACAGAGATATTAAAACACTTTGTGAAATTGCTAAAGAAGAGTTGGGTAAGGTTAATGAGTGGTTTATAATTAATAAACTAAATGTGAATAAAACCAAATTTATTTTATTTCATAAAGTAAATAAATTATTAAATATTCCCATTAAACTGCCAAATCTAATAATCAATAACGTTAACATTAAAAGAGAAACTTCAATAAACTTTTTAGGCGTAATATTAGATGAACATTTACTTTGGAGCGATCATATAAAAAGCATTAAGAAAAAAATATCAAAAAATATTGCCATGATATATAGGTCTAAACCATTTCTAAATTATAAATCTTTAAAAAGTTTATATTTTTCTTTCATTCATTGTTATTTGATTTATTGTAATATTGCATGGGCAAGTAAAATTCGTACAAAATCAAAAAAATTGTACAGTAAGCAAAAACATGCGTGCAGAATATTATTTAAAGTTGATAAAATTGTACAATGTGAGTCTCTTATGCGTATACTTGGCGTATAAAACGTTTATAAAATTAACTTACACCAAGTTTTAATGATCATGTATAAAATAAAAATGGTACTATCTCCAAAAATATTTAGTCCTATTTTGAAAAAGTAGTGCATAAATAACCGACAAAATTTTCAGATAATAACTAGATTGTTCCTAAATATAATTCAAAACTAATTACATATTCAACTCAATTTTGTGGACCTTATTTGTCTAATATTGCAAATACGAAAAAAGTTAGTATACAATAGTTTGAAATCTAATTTGAGTCCTTGAATATATATACTTTTTTAATTATTAATGAATTGTTATTTATTTTACTTTTATACAAATTGGTTTTAAAATTACGTAAATATTACGGTTTTTGTAAATTAAGTAATTTTTTATTTTTAATTTTTCGTTCTTTTTTTAAACATTACTTTATTATTTTTATATTTTTCAATAAATAATTTGTAGAGTATACGTATATATTTTTATATTATAGAGTATATAGGCTCTTGTAAATACGTGCTCTCTAATTTATTTATTTTTTGTTTTGCTTTTTTGCTTTTCTTTTGATTTTTTTTTATTACTCATAACATGAATATTATTTTTGAAGTATTTCTTAAACTAATTGTTATTTATTTTTACATTTATAATTTTCAATAAATAATTAGTAAAGTATAAATATATTATACGGTTATTGCAAATACGTACGATTGGGGCTTGGTAATAAGACAAAATAATGTCTTTTACTTGCCCCGCCAGTGTTTTTATCTATAAACTATTAAGTTGTAAAAGATAATAAACAGCGAAATAAACAAACAAATTATCTAGCTTAGGTACACTTTAAGGTCAATATATGACGCTTAGAGACGTTTATATTACAATATTATTATTTACATTTAGGTGTTATTTATACTAATAGTCTCGCAAACATACTCCTCCCTTTTAACCAAATGGTCAATATCTTTTGGTTCATTTGGCTTGAGAGGACATAACTTGGTTATCGAACGTTTCAAAATAATCTTCCCAGCTTAAATATTAGCCACACATACTAACCCATCGTTTCCAGGAAAAATCTCCGTTACTCGACCAATGCCAATCGACTCTTAAAGTATTTTTGGACATAACTAATATTAGATCGCCTATTGATAAGTTGCCCATTACGCTATGCTATTTTTTTTTGTGGTACAAGCATGGGTAACCATTCTCTCATTTAATAATGCCAAAAGTACTTAATTAATTTTTGTACTCGACGCCACCTTATCTGGTTAATTAAGTGGTATCCGCTGCATTTGCGGTACTACCTAATTGTCTATTTTATTTATAATAAGCACCTAATCTAAATAATTTATAATTACCACCTAATTATTTAAATAAAAAAATTATTGGGTGTAAGAGGTGTGCAGTCTTTGGCATCACTCGATTGGTAAGTCAGTGGTCTTGAATTTATAAGTTCTTCTGCTCCGGTAAACACTGTGATAAAACTTATCAAAAGTTCTTCATCAGTGATATTCGCGTTTGCCTGTTAGAAATAAATTACTCGTTTTGCTACTTTTATCATAGTTTCGTGAACTTCTCCGAAATGAGGGGCTGCTGGTGGGTTAAATGCCATTTAATACCAACATGGCTTGCTGTTTCGTTTATTTTTTTGCTTTCGCAATTCGTGAACTTTCGTAACTTTTTTGTTTGCTAATACAAAATTTCCCTATTATCTGATATATTATCTCATACTCATCTGCAAACGTTTCGTTGGTTATGGTGCCATAATTTGCGTTGCTGACTTTGTTTCTCGTTGCTTGCATTATGAACACTCCGCTTTCGATTGTTTCATCTCTTCTCTTCCAGATACTACCTAATACGTAGTAGACAACTCTGCCAGAATATGAATTACACCACAGATATGCTGTCCTGCTGCATATCTGTGGTGTAAATCATATTCTGGCAAAGTCCTCATACCTACATATTGACTTCGATATTTGCTTGAAAACTTATTGAGAGTTGTTTCTTCTTCCTATTTTTCTTTTGTTCGTCTCTTCAAATGCAACAACCTGTTATGAATTTCTTGACAACTATCAGTTCCACATTTTCTTGATTTTTCACATTTAATGCCAAGGTGATCATTACCCAAACGACGATAACATATATAATAGAATTTTGCTTGTACCCATATTTTTCTAACTGCCATGGATTTGAATGTTTCACACGCCCAAACTACGTGTTTACCATCACAAATCTTGTACTTTTTTGGTACTTCGTTTTTGAATTTTTCTCCAAAGTAAGTTCCTTGTTTCTTTTTGAACCCCCTTTTATGGGTTTGTCTTGATTGCATCTTGGTTCTTCCATACCACATAAGACATCCTGGGTAACTTGTATAGAATTCTGCTTCTTGATAAATCCATTCTCGCAACGATTCCAATCCAGGACTTTTTTGCTTTTCAAATAGCCATCGTACAAACACACTTAGCATTGATTTCGGTTACTTCTTCATAAGTTTGGTATAAATCATATTCTTTACAATCACAAATCTTGTACTTTTTTGGTACATCGTTTTTGAATTTTTCTCCAAAGTAAGTTCCTTGTTTCTTTTTGAACCCCCTTTTATGGGTTTGTCTTGATTGCATCTTGGTTCTTCCAGAGTGAGACATCTGTTAACTTATCAAATTTTCCCAATTCTTCTAAATTTATAACTGCAATATTCAACATATCAGCAAATTTTTAAGATCACTTGGGTTGTTAGGTTTTAATGAACTGAAATTTTCTACTCTCTCCAAATACAAGGCTATTTGTTGTCGTTTTCCACTGTATTTCCTTTCGAATCGAACTTTTGCAGCTTCGCACGCAGGTTTTGAATACCCCAAATTTTCAACAACTTTCGAAGCTTCTCCTTAGAGATACTAGCGTAGTTGTAATAATTTGTATTCAGGTGTAGCTGGAGCTCTATCAATACATGCTTTAAACGCTGCTTTCCAAATTACGTATTGTATTTTATTTCCTTAAAAGACAGAAATTGACACTTAAGATATGTGCCTCCATAAGCCTTGTCCAATTTCTTTTTTCGTACTCAAGACATTATTTGCCAATTGAAGGTCATTACCTTTTTGATTGTACTTCGTTCTTTTTGTTGGCTCTCCGCGCCAACCAGTTCCAACAGGGCGTATTTGATAGCCCTTTCTAACTCCAGAGATTTCAGCATGCCGTTTATCAAAATATGCCGATACTCAATTGAAAATTCATCTATTGCATTCTCAACTGGTTAGCAAGAATTTTTAAGAATTATATAATATATAAAGCTAAAAAATTCACGTATTATTTTTGACTTTTAATACTTTTTCATTAACATCTGGTAGCAGAGAGTATTAGCGTCAAATCGAAATATATAATATATCGATATAACGCTAATCGATATTATACTAAAACGCTACTTTATTATAAATTTTACGTAACTATATCTACCATATAATATTTCCCCAGAGAAATATTAAAGGTATTTTTAAACTTTTTTGATTATCTATTTACAAAACTGGCTAATTGCCTCTTTAGCTTGGGTAATCTCTAAGGTCATTATATGATGCTTAGAGACGTTTATATGACAATATTATTATTTACATTTAAGTATTATTTACACTAATAGTCTTGTGAATAAAAGGTTGTTAAACCGCGTACGTATTTGATGTCTTTAACACCACCCCCTCCCATGTACGCTTAGAACGTTTTTGGTTAAGCACCTTTACTTTATGGAAGACCCCAAACTATACTTATTTATTTTTGATTCCGGTTTCTGTTTTGTTCCGGTTTAAGTTCTTCAATTTCCAGCTCAGTTCCCATTCCGGCAAAATATCATTTTTGGTCACCACAAACTTTGTAGAAATACTTTAGAATATAATATTCTGTATTTATTTCACGAGGCGAACAAATGAACTTGTATTTTGAACGATCATGAAAATTAGGAAAATAAAATTAATTAGATAATTTTTTTTGTGACAGTCCATTCATATATCTTATAAAAAATGCTAAAATAGAGTAGTTACATATTTAAGATATTAAAATAATTTTATGATTAAGTATTCCGCGACGAACTATGCCTCTAGTTTTAATATGTGGATTTCCTTGCTCTGGAAAAACAAAAATAGCTCATGAAATAAAAGAATACTTGGAAAATGAACAAAAAAAGAAAGTCATTGTTGTAAGTGAAAATGATCTAGTTGCTGAAAAGAGAAATGAAATTTATTCAGGTAGATATTTTGTTTTTTATGAACAAAGTATAATAGTTAGTTTACTTTATTATCTTATTTTTTCAATAATAAAGAGGCTAATATTTTGCTTTAGATTTCACAAAAGAAAAAGAAATTCGATCAGCTCTTAAGGCAAAAGTTGAGCAACTTTTGACTAGAGATTGTGTTATCATTTTAGATGGCCTAAATTATATAAAAGGTTTTCGATATGAACTTTATTGTATAGTTAAATCTCAAAAAACACTACATGCTGTTGTTCAGTCTGGATATTCTAAAGATTTATGCAAAAAGTGGAATGCTAGTGTTAGTGCATTAAATCAGTATGATGAAAATGTGTTTAATGAGTTGATTCAACGCTTTGAAGAGCCAGACAGTCGTAACAGATGGGACTCTCCTTTATTTATATGCTCAACAGAAATAAAACTTCAGATGAGTGAAATATACAATTCACTGTTTGATCGTGTTGTTCCACCACCAAATCAATCAACAATATCACAACCAAAGAGTAGTGGAAGTTTTATGCATACTCTTGACCAGACTACTCAGAATATTATTCTAGAAATTTTAGACATTCAAAAAACAGCATTTATTGGTGATAGTATAAAACTTAAAGAATGCGATGAAAAAGTTGTTTTAATGAAAAAATATACAATGAGTGATTTAAGAAGAGTAAAACAGCAGTTTATAAATTATACAAAAATGCATCCTATAGAAGATGTTGCAAAACTTAGAAAAATGTTTATACTGTTTATAAACAATAGTGTTAACTAATAAATTTTTAAATTAAAAAAAATGACTTTTATAAATAATGACAGAACTTAGTTGTTTTTTTCTTTTATTTGTTTTTTTTTTTTTCTTTTTCCTTTTTTTCTTAAGTTTAATTTCCATGGCTCCACATTTGTTTGGTTTCATTTGCTTGGTTTTCTCATTTATATGAGAAAATTTGCATTATTTGGATAATTATGGATGAGTTTAAAAAAATTTTTGAGATAAGTTTTTTATTATGGCACCACTACTATGATGACCATCCAAGGTTTTTGAGCTCCTCATAATCTTATCAACATTTAAACTGTGATTTTTATATCAGAGTTTTTTTTTTCTCAAGTAGTGTTTAGCACAGTTAAAAAAAATGACTTATGTACCTCTTACTTGACCCAAAATAAAGCCTAAAAAATATTATTTTGTCTTATATGAAATTAAGAAAAATAATGGTAACGTAAATACAGCAATGACTTCACAATGCTTAAATTATCTTACTTATTTAGAATAATTTAAAATGTCAGAGGGGCCTACAAAGTCAACTATATATTTGACATTTATATTACAACTTTCTGAAATTCGCAATGTTGTTCCAAATATAAAATATGTAAACATAAATTATGCCAATAAAATACATTATAATGTAGTACAAATTATTAGGGTTTAAACCAATTTCTACTTAAATAGCACAAATTACAACACTTTCCGAATTACATTACAACTTAATTAGAATTTAATTAGAACTTTATTAGAACTTAAAAATCTTGGCCCATACAAATCTAATCAAAATGTTTTTTTCATTGAGTAATTATAAAAAAAAAATTTAGTTATAGTTTTGCAACAAGTTGTATATAAAGATTTTTTTCGAGTACTAACTTTGAACATGTATTTGCATAGAGTATAAGGGTCATTAAAGATAAATATAATTTTATACACATAAAACTTTTTTTTTCCATATTTTATTCAAAATTGTGAAAAGATTCAGCCTATGTGTTTTCTGACAGACCAAATGCAAACATGTTACTCTGTATAGCAGTTTTGTTTGTCATGATTTATGTTTTAGAGTCATAAGGTTGAGAAAAGTTACTACAAAATTTAATAACCATCCTTAACTGTAGCGGTTTCTTTTTTGGAGAGTAATATTAACCTATTATGTTTTTATTTATGTTTTAAAATTAATATTTATTAATTTTGATCATATATTCAATAATTTACTAGTGCATTTACCATTTCTCATTAACAGCAATAATACTTGCATTCTAATGTTTTTAAATATATTGAAGTATTGTATTTTGTAGTGCTCAATATTATTTAAACAGAAAAATACTTTCACTAATCACAAAGAAAAACTAATTCAACATATTTGCATTAAGAAATATGTATATATACCTTTATACAAATTTGTATAAAGGTATATATACATATTTGTGTGCATATATATGTATATTGTACACATGTACATATATATTTATGTATATTGTACATGTGTACATATATATATATATATATATATATATATATATATATATATATATATATATATATATATATATATATATATATATATATATATATATATATATATATATATATATATATATTATGTACATATAAATATATGTATATTTAATATATATAAATATATATATATATATAAGTGGTGGAAAAAAGTAATGCGTCCAGTACATTTTAAATAGAATTTCTCTCTAGATAAAACATATAGCTAGATAGTTGATCAAAGTAATTTCACAATTGTCTTCGCTATGCATCACGTATAGAAATATTTTAATTAAAAAATCATTCCAAGTACATATAAATAATAAATTCTGTTAAGTCTATATTTGTTGTCGGACACATGACTTTTTTCTGCCACTGTATATATTATGTATCATACTTTTTTATGTTTCTATATACTTACATATTTATGCATTCCTATAAAAGTTTAGCTATTGAATTATATTATAGTCTTTTTTTTCTTGCAAAGTTATATATATTTTCTATATCCATTTAGCAAGTTTGACATCTGAAGAAATCTAGTTTACAAATCAATGAATCTGTTAACAAAGAAATGGAGACCCAAGAGGTAATCACCCTTCAATTTGGAAGTTATTCAAATTATGTGGGAGCACACTACTGGAACTTGCAACAAAAAGCAATTTTAGATTCAGATGAAGAAGATAATATAAAACTATTTAAATCTAGTTTTGGAAAACATAAGAATAAATTTCCTCGCACTATTTGTTTTGATATAAAAAACAGTCTTAAAACTTTAAAAGAAGATGGATCTTTTACTGATGAATTAAAGCAAAAAGAAAATATAAATGGGTTGCCTTTTGAAAGTGAACCTGTGTTGTATGAGCAAGATTTGTTTAAAAAAAATCTCTCAAAAGAGTCAAAAGATTTTGAGGAAACTGTTACTACATGGACTGACTTTATGGAATTTGAGTTACAAGAGAATTCATTGCAATTGCTTTCAAATAATTACAATGATGGAGAAAGTTTCACTTGTTTTGGATTGGGAAAACAAGAATTTTTGAATATTCGTGAAGAATTTGAAGATAAGTTACATTTTTGGGTTGAAGAATGTAACAATTTAGAAGGTTTTCAGGTAGTTAGTTTGTGTTTTAAGCAGTTTTATATTTTTTTAAATTTGTTTATTTTTTTACATGTAAATAATTTTTGAGCAGATAACTCTGAATAACTCTATCTGGTTCTGCTTTGTATTAGGCTTTCTAGGCAAATACTTAATATAAGCAGGGATAAACAGAAAAATTATGTTAATCAACCTTGCTCCTCTTTTTTATCTAATAGGTTTGCATAGTTGTAAACCTGTGTTTCATTGTTTCCTGTCTAGAATGACAAATAGGCATGTTTATTGTGTAATAAGATTAAAATTCTCAGATTCTTTTATGTGCTTTTGTTTAGCGCCATTTTACTCAATTTACTTCAATCGCCTTTTTTCCTGTTCTTTATGGTTCTTCTTTGTACAAATACTGCACTCTTTTAATTGTTAATTCTGATTAAATTGATTAAGCCCTTTTCTCTTTATTCATCAGCCAATATTGCTGTTACTGTTAAATAATTATTAGTAACTTTTCATCTTTTTCACTAGCTGCCTATTTTCAGTCTCTTGTAAGCTTGCGATTTGAGCCTCTTGTAAGCTTGCATTTGTTTGTTTTTTTTAATATTGCCATGGTTACTGCTTAGTAAGCTATTATTTCTTTTTTCATCAAGCAAAAATCAATCTTACGTGACTTATCAACAAGCAAAGTTCATTCTTTTAACTTGTTTCTTCTTATTCAAAAAGTTTTATTTATCTACTTTTTTTTTCTTGCTCTTTTTTTGAAATCCCCTTCTTTTACGTATATGTTATACTGTACTTCTGTTACGTATATGTTATACTGTACTTCTGTTACATATATGTTATACTGTACTTATTACTTACAATTATTACTCTTTAACTCTCTTTCTTCTAACTCCCATATTATTTGCTTGCTAATAGGTTTGTTGGGTGTGAATTTAAAAAAATGGTGTTATGCACTATAATGGTTTATTATATTTGATTATATTGATTTTTAATACATAATAATTTTTCTTGCAATTTTTCTTGGTTTTACTTCATATAAGAATTTTTTTTTTTTTTTTTTTATTCACCTCCTCAAGGCGAGAAGGCCACTACAGACGAGGAGGCTACTTATTAGTGGTTATTACCCTCTCTCAACTCTATAACTCCGAAACACGAACCTTGACAAACAAGGCCGCTGCGCGGAGAAACAAGTTGATTTATAAATTATTTATAAATATTTTATTTACATTTACTATTTATGTTACTTGTAAAATTGCTATTATTGCTACTACTACAAATAATTAAAAAATAGTATATATAAAGTTAAAATGACACAAGCTGTGATATTAAACGAAAAAGTTTCATTTTTTTAATTCTTTGTTAAATCAACTTAAAGATCATACAGAGTTTTTAAATGTTTATTTCTGATTAGTTGAATTAAAAGTTAAGAAATCAACATCTCTTAACAAAATCAAAATTTATCTGTTATTTTATCTTCAAAATGAACACACAAATAGTTTTAATTTGATCTGTAAATACTTTATTACAAATCATTTGAAGTTAACATATCAGTGCGTTTTTTTTTACAGTAGAAAAAAAAGAAAGAAATATCATGCAGTGATAAAGTTCTTTATTTTTGAAGTTTTATTGGCAACAGAAATTCATTCAAAAATGAAAATGTTAAATTATCTCCTTTATTTTGAATTGTGAAAGGTTTTAGAGTTTGATTGTGATTGTTCAAGGGTTTAAGATGAACCATGTAGTATATATCTAAAACTTGCAACAACAACAGAAATCAATGAGCAAATCTATGATATTATGTGAAAAGTTATTGTGCTTAGTCTTGCTTAGTCAAAGTTTGACTAAGCACAAATTTGCTAATACCATAAGCATCTCAGACAAGTTCTCTATATTTTATTTTACAAGAGTTGCAAACTAAAAAGCTGTTTGGGAAGTAAGCATTTTGATTTTACAACCTTATGATGCATACATCATACTGGTTTGTGCATTATGTTTGATTTCTGTATTTTATTATGAGATTTCAATCCAGCTAAGTTAATGTTTTGTTTTATAATTTTGCTTCATATTTTAGTTATTGGCTATTTTTTTATTAAATCTATTTTTGTTACTAATTATATAATAAATATAGATTTTTATATGTATTTTTTAAATGAACAATTTTGCTATCAATAAATCGGCTTCAAGTTAAAAGTTAAAAGAAAACAAAGAAGAGAGTTAATCAAAATAAAAGCAGAAGATTTAAAAATCTTTAAATTGTATTGTACAAGGAAAAAAACTTGATAAATTAAAGTTTTATGAGCATGAAGGATTAGTTACTATGGCTGCAACTTCTTATTAACAATAAACAAGTCAGCAGTGAAATAAAAGGAATATTGGTGAAACTGAAACTCTTCAATCTTTCAATCCTCTTGTTTCAGCAGTGAAACATGAGGACTGAAATGTGTATTAGTTGTCAAGGAGTAAGAGAAAAAAAAATTGAAAGAAGGATCAAAGTTAAAATGAGAAATGAAAATTTATTTAAAAGTTTACATATAAGAGTTTTAAATTCAGTTTATTTTTTTTCAAGAACTTTTCAAGAATAAAAATAATCAATTATTATTCATTCAAATATTAAATAACTATTTGTTTGAAATTTTTTTGAAGTATTTGGAAAAATGTCAAGACTATAACATTCACTTATATCAAGACAGAAGAAAATTTTATCCAGGCAACTAAGGGAGCACAAACCAAATTCTAAATTTAATTACAGTAGATGTAGATAAAGCCAGATTTTTGTGTTTATATGTGAATCTAATGCAACTAGATGTTGCATTAGATTAATACTTTGTTAAAACCAAGAAATCTAAAAAGAAGTAATAGATTTAGTGTTTATCATTATTTATATTTACTATTATTTTATACTTATCATTATTTTTATAATTACTATATTTATCAAATTGTTTAGTTTTATGCCCAGGACAATTTTTCACTAATGTCAATTTTTTTAAGAGGGTTACCCTCCTAATAAACTTGACATCGGTGAAAAATTTCTTAATATTGTCTACAAGAGTTTGCTTTGTGATCTGTCTGTAACCATGAGTATTGATGAGTAAAGCAATGTTTATAATTAGTTGTTCGTGCTATGGTAACAATAACAAACTTAGATATTTTACTTTTGAAATTGAACTCGACTTTGAATACTTTTTATTATTTGCATGATGTAGCTGTTAACTCTTAAATAAGTATGAAATTATATAGAATATAGAATATTATAAATATTTTATGTAATCTTGGTTACAAATTTTGTAAATGACCTTTGTAAAAAGTGAAGTGCTGAAAAATTGTTATGTTTCAATTAAATTAGATTTAATGTAGTTGTACTAATGGTTACTGTAATAAACCAAGGGTTACTGGAGGTTACCAATCAGTTATCATTTGCTTTATCTACCTGAGTTGAATTAATATTTTCTTCATTCAGTGTTGTGCATTAAAAATCAACTAAGAATTGAGAAAGCCGGCAAATCTGTTGTTCTAATTATTTAATCATTGAATTTGTTAGATTAAGATTTTGACAATTTTTAATTATACTATAATTAACAATGAATCACTTGACAAATTTTGTTTGCTCAAGTAAACAGAAAAAACTTCATTCTTCAAGTAAACATAGAAAAAACTTCAAAACGTTTCGAATTTTATATTAATTAAAAAAAATTAATTAAAATTTAAATAATAATCATATTCAAGTTAAACAATTTTTTTTGATTATTTCCCTTTTTGCCAGGAGGTTAAGTGTGTTTTTAAAGGTATTTTTTGTTTGTTAGAGGGCGTTAACTTTTTAAACGATGTACAAAAGTTCAACCTAAATATAAGACTTATGGGTGCTGCACCCTGGTAGCAAAAAAAAATGCTAAATTAATTTTTTATCAAGTTTATTGTTAGTAATCGTTTTAAGTATTACTATAAGTTGAAGCTAAAACAAGCTGGCTTTAGAGCATGGTTTTTTAAGTTTTTAAGAAAATTTAAGTTTAACCGCGAAAGTATTTTTAAGATTTAAATGCTTCAAGCTTGTCATTTTGTTTCATAAACACAATGTTTTAAAACTGGTCTCAGACGCTCAACTTTGATATGTTGGCGCGAGTTACGTATTGTTTATTTTAAAAGTATTATACTTTGCTGGATTGTCATTCTATGTGTGTGTGTTTATTAATATTAAGTACATTTTTAAAGGTTTTTGTTAAAAATTAATATATAATAAGTAATTATTTAGGTATAAATTGCAAACTCAAATTCCACTAGTTCTCACTCTGTTGAATTTGATACCTATGCTTTGTACCTGACTAAGCTGGTTAATAATATGGCTATTAAGCTAAAATCTTTTTCGAATCAATTCATGGTGTCGATCAGTAAAAGGTTACATAATTTATTTACGGATTTTGAGAAACCTGTTAAATCTATTAACAAAAAATCGAAACAAACCCAACTTCCTATTTATGACGAGCAAGCACAACTTCCTGCTGTTGACTGGCCATTTCTTTCAACTGCTAATGTAAAATCAATCATTCTTAATCCCTACCCTCAAACTCACATCAATTCTCCATCTAATTGAGTAAAAGTTCAATATCAAATGATTCTATTACTGATGCACACTTATTTGCTGATCATGATAATGATTATGGTAATGCTTTTCACTTATCTCGTCATCCTTTTTCTAATGAGACCTCTCAACCAGTATTGGATTCCACTGATTTCCAAAGTGTTACTCATCTGAAGAAAAAGCGGATGCAAAAAGTGCTTATTGGTTCTGAAAAGATTCCAAATAATTTATCCTCGTTAAAACCACTTCATTTGTATGATTGCTCTAAAACTACTTCTCTATTTGTTTCTTGTTTATTGCCAACTGCCTCTGTTGAAGAATTAGCTAAATTTGTCAACACAACATTTAAAACTAAAGCCACTTGTCTCAAAATTGTTACAAGTAAATATCACTCTTCCTTTAAAGTATCTGTCTCTGCTCAAGATTCTGTCAGGCTCTATGATGGTAGCAAATGGCCAGAAAATGCTTTTTCAAATGGCCAGAAAATGGCCAAAAATCGTTTCTTTGAAAATGGCAATAAGAATTTGTAGCTTTAATTGCCGTGGTGTACAAAGTTCTACACACAAATTACAACTCTTGTCTGCAACATATGATATCATCTGTCTCCAAGAAATTTGGTTTCTTAACATTAAACAACATTGTATCTGGTTTTTTTGGCTTTGGAGTTTCTCAACAGGTTCTTCAGCAGGTTTCGTTTATGGCAGACCGTTTGGTAGTGTTGCTATATTGTGTATATGAGAATGTTGATAAATATCTTGAATGCCTTGGTAGTCTTTCAGCTCTTATTTCAGATTTAAACAGTAAATTTGTTATTACTGGTGACTTTAATTGTGATCTACGATTTCGGTCTCCATGTAGTAGTCTCCTAACTAATTTTTGTGCTAACCAACTTCTTGTTACAGCTGATATCTGTGTTCCACATGTTTCCTTTACCTTTGTTAGTGAAGCATGGGGCACCTCTTCTTAGATCGATCACTGCCTTGTCTCCCAAAGTTCTCTACCCTATGTTAATAACTTTGAAATAATTTAGTCAACTAGTTCATCTAATCATTTACCTCTAGCGTTTGATATCTTGTTTAAAATTGATATATCTTCCTCCTCTGCTGTTCACTCTACTTCGACAAGATCTCCTAAAATAAATTTTAATGCTCTGCCAACCACTATGATAAAGGAGTATACTTCCACTGTGTTTAACTTAGTGTCTTCAATTAACATGAATCAGTTTGAGTTAATTAACTGTAGCAATGTACATTGTTTGAGCATGTTAAGCAAATTAACTACTTGTAAAATATACTGAATCAATGTCTTACTCAATCTTCGTCTCAGTGTCTTAACTATTCTAAATCAAGTTTCTATAAAAAACAACCTATGCCAGGTTGTATGGGCTATGTAAAAGATGCTCACAAGACTACTAAAGATGCGTTCTTTCTATGGTGTCGCTATAATAAGCCAAAATTTGGCCCAATCTTCAATTTTTTTAAAAATGCAAGAGCCTTATATAAATATGCCATTCGTTGCTGCAAAAAAAAAGAAGATACTTTAAAAGCAGAAAAGCTTGCAAACAGTTCAGCAAATAAAAACTATACTAGTTTCTGGTCTATCGTGACTTCATAATGATAAATGTAGTCTTCCGCCTTCTATTGACTCTGCATTAGGTCCTGATAATGTATGTCACATGTGGTATAATAACTACTGAGTTGATCAGACCCTGTTTAACTCAGTCAAGCCAACTTGCAATATAAATGACACCTTTATAGTTAAGCACTGTAATCTGCTTAAGGATGATGCCTATCTTGTCACTCCCGATGAAGTCCAATCTATCTAATCATATGACCTATGGAAAAGCAGCTAACCATTTTGGACTTAAGTTGGAGCATTATCTCTATGCTAGCCCAATTTATTTTAGTATTTTATCACTGTGCTTTTCCTCCATGCTTTGCCATGGACACATGCCTTTTAGTGCTTCACACTCTGTTATTTCTCCTGTGGTTCATAAGAATGGTGATTATTGTCCAATTCTGCTAATTATTGTCCAATTGCTCTGGTTACAATTTTCTCCAAGATTTTGGAACATATTTTTGTCTCACGCGTTAATGAAAGTTTCACTGGGACTCCCAATCAATTCGGATTCAAGAAAAACCATAGCACTTTTATGCCAGTTTTTAATTTAAAAGATATTTTAAAGTTTTATCTGTCACATGGCTCAAATATGCATGTGGCGTTTATTGACATTAGTAAGGCCTTTGATAGAGTTCGATTTAACACACTATTTATGAAACTATTTAAAATTATCTTTGGTGTAACTTTACGTTTACTCATTGTCTGGTATGCTGGTCAAACAGCCCAGATCCTATGGAGTGGAATATTATCCAAAACATTTAATATCAATAATGGAGAGTGTCAAGGAGGTGCACTGTCTCCTCTTCTATTTAATATATATATATATATATATATATATATATATATATATATATATATATATATATATATATATATATATATATATATATATATATATATATATATATATATATATATATATATATATTAACGATCTTAGTATTCTACTCAATAAAACTACCGTTGGCTGCTGCTTGGGTCCTTCTCTTATTAACCATCTTCTTTACGCTGATGATATTGTCCTGTGTGTACCCTCAGCCAAAGGTTTCCAGATATTACTTGACTTATGCTCTAGTTATGGATCATTGGATGACAAAGATATCTTAAAACACGTATGTTTTATGTATGCTTAAGCGAACCTCATCCGTAGAAAGTTTAGCTCTACACAAATACAAACAAAGATCATGTTATTTAATGCCTTTTGCAGCCTAATATATGGATGTCAGCTATGGTATCTTTGGAGAAAAGACTCATTTCACCGCCTATGTGTTGTATATAATAATGAACTTCGCTTGATATTTAACAAGCCACCATGGAACTGTGCTAGTGAATTGTTTGGGAAACAATATGCCCATTCACGTAATGTTGTTATTCATAAGCAACAATACTTTTCATTGTTACTGTTGCAGAATAGTGAGAACCTCGTCATAATAGCCGTTGGCTGCTGCTTGGGTCCTGGAACTGGAAGCAATATACATATTACAATGATAATCTTAAAGAAAAATTATAACAAAAGTATTTTAGACTAAATGTCTGGATGAATGTTTAAATATTTTTTTCTGAATGTTTAAATATATTTTTATCATTTTATATTTTTTATTTGTTAATGTTGCAATAGTTTGAAAAATATACTTCAGCTAAAAATATTTGATGCTATTTCTCATTGAAAATATATTAAATACGAGTTTTAGGGATATAATATTTCACTTGAAATCCTCGCAAGCAATTTATTTTCATAAAACTAACAAAATGAACTTAAAAAATTTGCAAATTCGTCATTTTGTTGCAAAAATTTTGAAAGGCAAGTAGACAGGCATACTTGCCTACCTATAAATGTCAATTGATGTGTTTGTTTTATTTACTTCAAGTTTCAGTTTATATTTCTTCGGTTTATTTACTTCTTTTTTCTATATGTCGATGTATGCATATTTACTTACGCTATTTTACTTTGTCGTTATTATCATGAATTATTGTAAAAGTGAACAAAATACAGACTTTTCAGTCAAAAAGAAAATATTTTATACGAAAATGCTCAGCAAAAGCTGTAATAAATAAGGCCTGGGAACACAAAAATATTATTATATTAAATTTGTCGAAAAATATAGTTTATAATAGTAAAAGTTATAGCTTAATTGCTCAGGCTCATATCAGTGGGAGCAAACAGACACTTCGACAAAAATATCAAATTTTTGTAAATCTTATTTTCCATAGTTTAAACAAATATAGTTTTGTTTTTACAATTTTTAATAAGTAGTGATTTTACTTGACGTTGTAAAAGTTGAAATTCAAACCGTTGACAACGTTAAAAAGTTTCTAATCCGACGAAAAGAACAGAAATGATTGATAGTATTGTTAATTACGCTTTATGTTTGTACAAAATTACAATACAAAAGAATATTTAAACGACCCTAATTTCGAACAAAGCAAATAAATTAAAATAAAAACTAGGTTAAAAAAACAAAACAAATATTGTTTCGAATAAAGCAGTAAGAAAAACGAAAATCCTTAGAAAATTTAAGTTCATTTTTCTATATACCAATAGCCTTAAAAAAAACTTTCTTACTAAAATAATAACAATATTGTTATAAAAACATGATTTAATTTATGTTGAAATAAATATACGTTTACATGAAAACATATGTTGAATTGGAAAGGTAAAAGTATATTTTTGAGAACTGTAAATTGTAATACTATGAAAATCTCACCTTTATATATATTTTTTTCAATAAAAGAAAATCTATCTGACTAAAAATTCTTCCAAGTTTTTAAATAAAAATCTCTCGTTAAAAATTTCTTTAAAAATTTTCTCATTATTCACTGAATAATTAATTATTTTTATAAAAACATTTTTCACCCTAAAACGTTTTTACAAGTTTTTTTTTATTTTTTATTTAAATACTATAACAATGAGTCATTTGACCTTGTACAATTAAAAATGCAAGAAATTTTTCTCATTTATTTTTTTCCTAAGCGTAGTATTTTAAATGAATTCGAATACGGTGCTTAAGAATTCGAGTGTAATTTGTGCATTAACAATGCTTTATTTCAACTTTAGGTATTTACTGATTTTCATAATGGTTTTAGTGGATTGTCGTCGCAGTGCGTGGAAGATCTTCGCGATGAATATAACAAGAAGTGTTTACTTTCTTATTTAAACTGGCCCGTACATTTATTAAACAAAGAAAACTGTATATATGAAGACATCAACGCTGCTTTAGCTTTTCGTTCATACATGGATTTTTGTGATCTCTCTGTAATCCAAAGTTTACAAAAAGATATGTTTGATCAGAAATCTTTAAATGTTGTCAACATTGAGAACATAAATTACAAGGTCAGTTTTTTGAGATTCAAAATTCAAAATAGTTATAATAATTGGAAAATAATTCTAAATAATTTTTAAGGGTGAGTCTATCCGCACGCACGTGTGAATTGACTATATCTTATTATAGTCGATTCGCACGTTTAAAAAAAAAATTAAGTTAGGTTTTTAATGTGAAATCTCTCACAAACAAAAAATGTTTATAACTCATAAGTCATATATTTTGAAAGCAATTTAATTTTTTTAATCAATTATAACAAAAATAAATAAAATTACTTAAACATAATTAAATTTTTATTCGAAAAACAAACAAACGTGTCAATAGGTAAAATAAATATTAAGAAGTACTTCTTTTTTTAAATCAAAGATTGCCTGCTTAAAACTCTTGTCATTGTATTTATATTTCACTGCCTATCCCTAGACAAGCAGTTAATATGTATATACGGTACGCATATCCTACAAAAGTCAGTCAACGTAAGTACTGTGCTAGTTTAATTTTAAAGTTAAAAATCAATAATAATAAATCAAATTTTTTTAAATTCTCTTTAAAATCAATGATCTTTACTTTTTTTTAATTAAACGTGCGAATAGACTATAATTAAATACAATCTATTTGCACATGAAAAACGTGCAAATAGATACTCCTTTTTTTAAGTTATTTTAACTAATTATTTTAAATAATTATTGATTTAATTAAAATGTAATATCACATCGTTTTTCAACAGTGGTAATATTATTCTATTTTACTTTATACGAACTTCTTATAATATTTTTCATTTAAATAGGGATAATATGAGCTAAATGTCTTTGGACGAATTTCACCTTTAGGGTCGTCCATAAATTACGTAACGCTTCAAGGAGGGGGGGGGGAGGGTTTGGTAGTTTAGTGGCGACTCGTACAGAACTTAATATAAGGAGAGGGTCAAAAGTTTCGTCACCTATTCGTCAATTCCATAATTTAGCAAATATTGTCCCATAAACTCCTTTATTTATTAAATATGTTTAAAAAGCACAAAGAAAGTTTTGGTGTATAACTGCATAACTAAAAGTAGCGACCAAAAGAAATTTATTTCAAAACAAACTTCTTGAAAAACTGTTAACAAATTTTACTAAAATTATAATTTGTTTTTAAATTCTAATTCAAAGTATAATTCCCTTATTACATTTTAGTCTTTTTATCTTAAACATTAACTGCCCAAATCTTTCCAATAAAGAAAGATCTGACCTCTTATAATTATTATAGATAATTACATATAAATGCAAAACACGCGTGCTGGTAACATGTTAAACAATCACGCGTTGTGTGGATGATTGCTAGTTATCGACCAATAGAACGACATTGTGTATACTCTATATGCATTAAAATCATATGTGACTCAATCATTATTATAACATCATTTGCTAAATATGCACAATTGGGTTCTTCCATCAATGCAACAATGATGTTTGTTCTTGGAATATTTACTATCTTCTTTGCTTCATTGTCTCTTAAAACACTTTAAAACAGCAATGCACTTGATTTTAATCAATACACCTAGCATATGGTGATAGATGCATCGATTGAACTGATAGCTGAACCAAAGATCTTGCCACAGATTTGCCATTAACTGCATTTTCAAGTTCACATCTTCTAAAGTTCCATCTTGCACTGTGCAATGGTGGACTCTTATTCCACTTAATTTTTGATAATTTGTAATGATTTTTTAAATAAGGAAAACCGTCACATTACTCATAAAGAAGAACTCTGTCATCATAAAATCATCTCGTCATCCTAAGTTTATGTTATGCTCTATATTTATAATTATTTTGAAGGTTTTTATAATTTTTGTTTAAGTCCTTCACATTTTAAAATCAAAACCAGGATTTGTTGATTTATAATTAAGAAAGTCATCAAAAATATGTTTTAAAATAAGATTCAGTATATGATGCTAACATATAAGCCCAAATATTGTGTTTTAGTAAAGTCTCTGGTTACCATTGAATTTTCCTGCGTTCACTGCTGTTGTCTCACATACTCATACTAAAGGGGCAATCATAAAGTACGTAATTTAGGCTTCCCACTCCTTTACGCATTTGTATGCTTTCAACGATTGCCCCTCCTCCCTCCTCTTTTGCGTACATACACATTATTTATTACAAAATCACCTACCTTTCCTAACCTAAAATTTTTTAAAACATTTGCTAAAAACATTCCGGCTAATTCAACACTTCTCTGTTACATAACAAAATGGTTTTGTTATGTAACGGATATAATGCGGGTGCAACTAATTTTTTCTCAGTTGTACGTGTGTATAAACATAAGCTATTCTTATCAAGGAGTTTAAACGATTGATTCCCACAATCAATAATAATGATTATTCTCGACGCAACAAGTTTATTAGTTGCCAGTTCCGTTATTTCTCGGCCTTATAAAAAACAATGAGTTCCATGGTTTAATTAAATATCTAACCACGGAGTACTACATTGTGCAGGATTTGATTAGCTTAATAAATGTAAAGCAACTTTTAACAACGATAAAACTGATCTTTAGGAAACGTTTGAAGAGACAACATGAGGTTTCTTTACCACTTCACTCGTGTTTTCCATCGATACTTTAAAAATATTAAGGCTTCAACAGATTCTAATTATCAGCAATGCAGTACTCTCGTGCTATTCTAACTTTTCGTTTGTTTATTATAATGTCTTAAACTCGGAATAGGCTGTGTAAACTCTGTCCTTTCATATTTTGCTCATGGATATTCTGTAACAATGGCAAACCTCTGAGATTCATCCTACCAATGACATTATTGCAAATAATTGACTTTTTTTGTCTCTTTAATGACCCTAATTATGTTTTATAAACTGCTATATTAATTATGTTTTATAAACTGCTATACTAATTATGTTTTATAAACTGCTATATTAATTATGTTTTATAAACTGCTATACTAATTATGCTTTATAAACTGCAATACTAATTATGTTTTATAAACTGCTATATTAATTATGTTGAGCCTGCGTTCTATTTTATATTTGAAAGTAAGATTTTATAAAATCTTTTATAAAAGCTCATTAAATTATGATACAGGGAAACAAGGTTGTATAAAAACTCATTAAATTGTGATGCAGGGAAACAAGGTCATCTTAGTAACTTATATTTTTTGCTGTGGAACACGGAATATCGATAATACTTTAATTTTCACAACTTTTAATGCAATTTAATTTTTTCAACTTTTGGGGCCGTCCATAAAGGATGTCAGTAATTTTTCTTGGTTTTACGATCCCTCAAACTCTATCAATTTTAGGCCGACTTCCCATTAAAGATAATGTCAGTTTTTATACCTAAAGAAATACTACATGAGTCGTTTTTTAAAGCAATTTCATTTTTTTCAATTTTGTTGTATAGGCTTTGTTGGTATTTAAAATTTCAAACAAGACAAGTTCAAGGAATCAGTTTTCTACTGTCATCTTTTAAATTGATCTTAAGATATTTTTTTTCTTTGCCAATAAATAATATCGTTGTTTTATTAATGATAACTTCTCGGTTATAAGGCTATTTAGGTCTCGGTAATAAGGCTATTTAGGTCTCAGTAATAAAGTTTTCTTCTTGCTCCAGCCAATTATTATTATTATTATTTTTTTTTTTTTGTAAATTGTAAACATTTTTATACAGCGAAATAAACTTAAACTAAAAATGTAAATTAAAGTATAAAAATATGGCGTAATATTTGTTTTAAACTCCCATGGAAATGTTTAAAAAATTATGTATTCAATGATTTTTATTATATTATTTCACTATTTTTATTATATTATTTCACTAACTGATTTTATCTACTTTAGCCCAATCTACAATACCACACAAGTGCTGTTCTTGCTGCTACAATTGATTGCACCTCTTTGTCATGGCGACTACCTAATAGAAAGATAAGTATGTCGGAGCAATGCTATTTAATTAGTCAAGGTACGCGCACTTTTGCTGGTTCAGCTTTCAGCGTTCCTTTTGTTAAAAGTTCTAACACATTATTGGAGAAACTTTACAGCATGGATAGTTATTATGATTCTTTGGTTTTTACTCTCAGTCCTTATGCTTCTAAATCGCTGGTTCCTTTCAATCAGCTTATTACGTTACGGAATATTCCCGAAAATATGATCATACCCTCAGTAATTAAACCTGCATTATTACAGTCGTTGGGATTAAATTCCAACGTATTTAATTTAAACCCTATCAGCGTGTTAGACTTTTTTTCATCCAAGTTTTATCCATCAGAAAGTACAATTTCCCATTCTTTTTATTCAAAACAAAGACTTGATTTAGGATTTCCCTTTCCTTCTATCATTAATGGAAAATCTGGTGATAAAAAAGATCTTTACAACAATGTTACTTCTATGGGAGCACTTTATTCATCGCCAAGTTTCAATTTAGTGCTGAACGAAGTTGTCAAACGAATAAAGAAACTTAGTACTTCTAAAAAACATATTTTACAAGAATTTGATCTTAATAACGATCTAGCAAAAGAGTTAATAGAAGATTTGCAAAATCTAGCTTATATTTATGATGATTGTAAACTTTCGTTGTGATTTGTTGCATTTATAATTTCACCTTTTCTTTCGAAACAAAGTCTAACTCATATTTATGATGATTGTAAACCTTTTTTGTGATTTGTTGTATTTATAATTTAACCTTGCTTTTGAAACAGACGTTGTTATTCGACTGTTAGTTTTAGTTCGATTCTTAGTTATTGTTCGATTGGTTATTCGATTGTTAAAAATGTTTGATTAGTTATTTGATTGCTTGTTGATATTCCATTGGTAATTGCTATAATTTTTAATAGGTTATAAGCAGAATAAATTAAATTTACTTTTTTAATATTTAATTGAAATTGTTCTTTTCGATACTTTCTTCATTATTTATTATAATTTTTAAGATCTCGTTAAATTAAACTGTTACTATGCAATAACAAGTGTAGCAAATATGTTTTTAATGTTTTTTAAAATCACGTTGACAAAACTGATGTTCATTTTTCTTTTCAGTAAAGATCATTTTGCATTCTTTTTTTTTTCTTTTTTTTTTTTTTTTTAGATTTTTCTCATAGACTTTAGTTAGAAAATCGTTTTATCAATATGATTGTGAAGTAATTAGGTCAAAATTTCTCATATCATAAAATACTTTTAATATAATTTTAATAAAAAACTAAGCTAACTCCAACAAAACTCGTTTACTGCCAACAACTATCGCAATACTGTCGGCATTCTTATATTAATAAATGGCACCCCTCTTACTGAGTTCTCTGCTTTATGTCTTATTGGATTCTTTTCTAGACAAAATCCGAAAATGCATTGTAAACGTAATTGGTTTCGCTCTATCTGCCAAGGTTGAGCCACTCTCCCATCGTCGTTAAGTTGCATCTCTTTCTCTTTTCTACAAATACTATCGTGGTCACTGCTCAAAGGACTTGTCATCTCTAGTTCCATCAACTAAAACTCATTCTCCCTTGACTCGTCATTCAGCAAGTTTCATTCTTTTACTGTATCTGTCCATGCATGCTCTAAAAACTTTTATTTGTCTAGTTTTTTCCCCCGCACTTTAACCTTTTAGAACTCTCTTCCGTCTTCATGTTTTCCTGACAAACAACAACCTGCAACTTTTCAAGTCTTTCGTATCAATTGTTTCCTTGCTCTATAATTCTATTCTTTTTTTTCTAGTAACTTCCAACTTAATAGTGGTTGCTTGCAGCCTTGTTTGGAATGAATCAGAATTTAAAAAAAGCACTTTGCTTAAAGTATAAACTTTTTGGCAAGGTTCGTTTTTGTCGATAGCCTTGATAAACAGACGCCCCTTTTTTTACGGCAGTCAACGCTAAGCTTTGTTTCACGTTTTAATCAATGGATACACCGTAGCGGAAATAACTTATTAGAAAAAAAATGTCCATCAGAAACGGTTTGCATTTTCGAAACCACAAAACCTTGAACGACTAATATCTAAATTTTAAAAACATTTAATCGTCTTTCAAAAAAAAAAGGGGGGAGGGGGCTTAAACAGGCAGCTCATTAATTTTTGATGTTAAAAATAAGTAACTTTCAGACATGGCGTAAACATTTTTTTTCTTCTTTCCACATTGGAAAAATTCTTCGGAAAATTTATCTAAAAAAAATTCTTATTGTTTAAAAATAGCGACCAAGGAAAGTTTGAAACCCCCTCTCATCGAGGGGGTTGTGGACTTTACGAGATCATAACTTTTGAACGTTAAAATATTTTTACTTAATGAGAATTTTGCAGATGAAATTTAGTCAAGTTTATAATTGCAGAGTTTTTTTGTAAGTGCTACCATTGCCCCCTTTTTAGAAAATATTTGGACTTTAGGGCTCTAATATGAGAAAAATATTGTTCCAAAACGCTGAGTACCATTTATTTTAACATAATATTTGTATTAGTGTGAAAATACATATCTGGAGGTTACTTATCTTGAATATAAAATCTTGAAATAGATCTCTTAGTATATATTTATATGTTTTTCAATTAGAGAATGGTTTAAAATACACAAATTATTGTTTACATTTATATTTATTTCCATTTGCAATCAATAAAAGATACACATATATTATAACATATTTAATTTTAAAGTAAGACTGTTTTAAAGAAAGTATGCCTGGAGTTTTACGTAACAGTGGCTTTAAGCAGGCTTGCTTATAGTCTTTAAAGCTACTAGAAACTTTGTATCCACTGTCCCAAAACTGTTTAAAATCATAATAAACTGATTCAGAGGCCTGCTCAGACCAAAAATCCAATCCTTTATTTGGATTTGAATTTGGCAAGGGTGAAAGAAATTCACATGTATGCTTGATAAAACCATGGACTTTTGTTGACACTCGTAGACCAAGTTTAACATAAGCATCTTTGTACTCGTTAATAGTTGACTCATAATCAGGTAACAAAGAATCAGGTAAAACTTTATGCAACTTTAACAGATTTTAAACATTTAAAGGAGTTAACTATTAAAATGATATGTTCATCTTTTTCCAGTTTGGAAGATTTTATTAATGCTTCTAGCACATGAATATCTTTTAGCAGTTTCGAACATTCTCCACCTTTTAATTGACCATCATGCGCCCTAGGCCTTTGAAAACCTAAAATTTGGTTTCACTGGTTTGCCGATAAAGTGGTATCCATTGATTGCCAATATTTTTCAAGATTATTATCAATTCTGATTGTATTTCCACAATGTAAATAAAGTTTAATTAGAGCAAAGATTTCAATAACTTTTACATCATCAGGCAGAAAACATATCAAAAGCACAAAAGCATTTTGTTTACGCCACCATCTTTATATTTTTCATTACCTATTCCTTCCACATAGCTAAACTTTTTTTTTTGAGATTACATTTTTCTATAATATTGAAAAATTAAGCTTATAAAAATCCGTTTTTTAAATAAATCTCTTCCCTTCCAGATTCTAAATATGCTAAGAACTTTGGCTCCCTTTGTATTACTAAGCCCACAAGTTTTTTTTATTTTGTTTATTTCCGAAATTGGAATTTTTTCAACTGAAAAATGCGCCTTTGAAGAGCCTTTCGATTGCTCAACGGCGATGGCTTTACCTTTGGCTGCAACTTTCTCTCCTCCTCAAATTTTCTTTTTAATGCTTTTGAGCATTGAAGTTTGACAACTCGTCTATCTTATTACCAAAAGAAAGTAGTATCTGTGTTTTCAGTTTTTATATTTCAAATATTTTATATAAATTTCCTAATTTCAAGTTTGAAGTATTAAATAAAAAATAAAAGGTTTGCTCTACCTTTGTCTAGTTCTTCTATTAAATTTTTTCTACTCGTTGTGATAGTACGGCAATTTTTTCTTCTTGTTGCGAGACTACGACAAGTAGCCGTAGCGCAATGGTTAGCTTCTTTATGGTCCCCTTTTGTTTCAGGTGTATATTTTTCCCAGGCTCCAGCCACTGTAGTTTTTTGTAAAACATACTTATTTGATACCAGGATCAATATTACAAAATTTGCACCATCTCTTGACGTTACCTATTTTGAACACCAAAAGTTCATGACAAACCCGTTTAACACTTTTTTTTTGTAAGACGTCAACGGAATATTTTCAAAATTTAGATAATAGTTGTTCAAAGTAAAAATTTTTTTTCATCGCGGAGATTTTGCGGAAACAAGACGTGTATTTTATTAGCGACAAAATTCTACATAAAAATGGGTATAACAATAAAAAGCATCGAAAAAATTATCACAAAACAACTCGAGGAACATAAAAAAAGTATTCTTAAAGAAACTGAACGACTACTGAAAGAGCAAGAAAAATCATTTACTTTAATAATGAGTGCAAACCTCAAAATTATAACTGGTAGACTAGACACAATAGAGAAAGACAACAACAACAACAACAAGTCGAAAATAAAGAATATCGAAAAAGACCTGAACGAAATAAAGGACAGCCTCAGTTTTCAGAAGAGTAAAACTTTAGAAAACATTTCAAACTTAAAAAAATATTATGACAATCAAATAAATACATTAAATAAAAAGTCAATAGACTTGGAAAATCGATCCAGAAGAAATTATCTAAGAATAGATGGACTAAAAGAGTCTCCAGGAGAAAGCTGGGATGATTGTGAAAAAGAGGTAAAAAATTTCTTTAATAATCAATTAAAAATATCAAAGGAAGTCGTAATAGAAAGAGCACATCGCATCGGTCAAAAGAAAGATAATAAACCAAGAACAATAGTTTTAAAACTCCTGAACTTCCACGACAAAAACAAAATACTCAACTCATTAACACATCTTAAAGGAACTGGCATTTACCTAAACGAAGATTTTGCCCAAGAAACTATCGAACATCGAAGGAAGCTTTGGGAAGAAGTGAAAAAATTACGTAGCGAAGGTAAATACGCCATTTTAAAGTATGATAAAATTTTTAGTCGAGATTTTAAAAATACGCGCTTTCAAAAATAACTTTACTAAAATCGAATTCTATTAAAAAAGAAAATTTGATTTAATTTTTTTTCGTCATGGCTAATGATTTTCTAACAAAAGATTTTGATAAGTTGCGTTTTGACTTTTTTAAAACTAAAAATAATATCTTTGCGAATGATTTATACGATGATGATTTATTTATTTTTAATGGACCTGACTCTTCATACTTTGATACTAAAACTTTTAAAGCTGAACTTCGTAACAATATAGACGAGTTCAGGGGCGGATCTAGGATTTATTTTTCCTTTGGCGATTTTTTTTTAATATTAGCGCCCCCCACCCCCATTTTTTTTTTTGTTGTTATTAAGGTGCTCTAAGAAGTCCTAATGGCCTTGTCACAGAGCACCGCCACAAAGACAATAACATTTGTAACTTGGCTCTCCGTTTCCAACTATACCGATAACCTTTATGTGCTTCGAGTAGAGATCGAACTCGCAACCCTTAGATTAATCCAATGCTCTAACTACTGAGCCACGATTGATATAACACAATTGATCCCAGACAGTGGTACTCTCTAATACCAAATAAGCCTCCCTTCCCCATTTACTATTTGTCAACTCTATACTAACTCGGATTTATATTTTCAAAAGGTTTTTATTTGACACCAGGGGGGCTCCCCCTATGTATTCACCCCATTTGCACTATTTGGAATTTTTTTTTGTGATTAAGACTCGGTGTTTGCAGCCTTTTATAAAAATAAGAACGCATTTTCAAAA